ACACAGGGCCAAGGGAGAGGGACCCAAAGCAATCCCCCTCCCCCGTCCCCCTGCCGCCTTCTTGGTGCACGTTCGCTGCCGGGATTGCGCCTCTGTCTTTGCGCCTGTCTTGGTCCTCCTCTTTATGGAACAGTAATGGGAGCAACAGCAGGCCACTCACTTGCGGCCGGAGCGGTTGCTGCGAGCGGTCTTGCCCGGGCGACGCTTGGCACCGGCGCTGCCGCCGCGCGAGCGCGCCTTGCCGGCGAACTTGGGCGCAGACCCACCCTTGGCACCGGCGCTGCCGCTGGGACGGTCACCGAAGCGGGCACTGCCCGGGCCCGAGGGGGCGCTCCCGCGCCGGGCACCAGAAGTCGGACCGGCTTTCCGCATGGCAGCCTTGGACTTCGGGCCACCCTGGCCGTACTTGCTCTGGCGCGCACGACGCTTGTCGTCCTCATCCTCCATGGCCTCGTCGATGGAGACACCGAACTCATCGTCATTGGCGGTCGGCATGTTGGCCCGGCCCTTGCGGATGAGCTTCATGCGGTCGGCAGCCTCAGCACGCTCGCGCGCACGCTCCTGGAGCTTCTCGGCCTGGACCTGCTTGCCGAAGCGCTTCTGCTTGCGGATGAGCGCCACCTCCTCGGCGCGCTTCATGCCCTGCTCGCGATCCTGCACGGACTTGCGGATCTTCGACATGTGCTGGTCGGTCTTCAGCATCTCGGCATAGAAGTCCTCCGGGCGCTCGAAGGGAATGCCACAGGCAAGAACCTTGGGCCGGGCCTCGAGGATGGCCGCGAGGGCCTGCTCCTGGCTATGGATCCGAGCGGTTGAGAGGAAACAAAGTAGGGAAGAAAGGAATGTCAGCTAATCCGGGCGGGGGGCAGGGGGCGGCAATCCAACCGAAGAACAAGTGGCAAGGATCAAAAGTGAAGGGGGAGGAGGGGAGACCGGCAAAGCAAGAGGGACATAGAACGCACAAGATAGCCTCACGAGCGGGCTCATCCTCGACGTTGGTGATGCGCTCGGCGCAGGAGTCAGTCCAGGTGTGGTCCAGAGTCTCGATCCACTCGAGCGCATGGGGGCGGCCGGGGAGGATGCCAAACTCATTCAGACGAAGGTTGATGCCCATGACGTCAATGTGGCTGCCCTCCTCCATGTCATCCTGCTCGTCGTCATCGTCGGAGCTGGCCTCGGCGTCGGAGCCACCGGCGGCCTCCTCGACCTCGCCGAGCTCGGCAAGGATCTTGGCACGGACATCCGCCGGCAGGGCGGCCAGCTCCTTGCGGAACTCCTCGTCCTCGGCGTCCTGACGGGCCTCGTTATCGGAGGAATCCGACTCGCTGACGGCCTCCTTGGTGACAAGCCGCTGGAACTCGGGGTCCATGTTCTTGAAGATAGCGCTGGGAATGGGGAGGGGAGAGAGGCAGATAGGAGGAGGGGAGACCGAGCAGAAGAAAGAAAAGGGTCAGTAGTGTGGTGGTAAGGCCGGGGGTGCGATCGGTAATGGGCGGAAACGCACGCGCTCATGGCTGGAAGCAGGTAGCAACGGAGTGCAGGAAGGTGGGGAGGGAGGAAAGGGAGGGCGTCTTGGCGCAAAGGGAGGCCGACAGAGGGGGGGGG